AATTTTCTCTAAGGTGAACAGACAAGAACCTGTACTCCCTTAGAAAAGAAAAAAAAAGAACCTGTACTCCCAACTATTGGTATAGCAGGTCATTTGAACTGGTCTTTCCCCAGAGATAGATCTTCTAATATTTTCCCTGTCCTCATTACAAATAGAATAAAATTCTGGTTCTGACATTCTCAAAAATGAAAAGGGAAGGGGGCTAGAGCTGATGATTCATGGTTTAATATAAAGATTTCATGTGTCCATGGATCCAATGCAGAATGGTTCATCACCCCCACCTGAACTGTGTCCGGTACAAGAGTGTCTCTTTCTCAACATCTACAATCTGCTGCTGGGGTAGAGGTGGCTATTACAAAGCACAGGGTAGAAAAAGTGGATCAAAGGTTCTAACCGCTTCTAATACATTCTTTCAATCCATCTTCCTGTTTTCAGCCCTCCTCACTTCCTGACTTCCTAAGTTCCTGATACCTCTGATTTCTCAGCCTTTCTGGAGCTCTAGGGCTTTAATCAATTTGTCTGTTGCCTTTCTCTGCTGCAAGCATTTAGCTTTCTGTTTTCTCAAAAATGGACTGTCAGCTACAACTTGTCTATTTGATAACTTCCACATTTTTATTGATGTCCCTTTTTGTTGCTGTTTTGACGTTCCTTTTGTCTATTTTATTCTTTGCTTTTGTGAATTTTTTGCCTTTTTATCCCTTTTTGTTATTTTAGTGAAGCTTTAAAAAGTGTTAGACATAGGCTCGGCACCTGTAGCACAGAGGTTACAGTGCCAGCCACATACACCGAGGCTGGCGTGCTCGAACCTAGCCTAGGCCAGCTAAACAACAACTACAACAACCAAAAAAAATAACCAAGCGTTGTGGCGGGTGCCTATAGTCCCAGCTGCTTAGGAGGCTGAGGCAAGAGAATCAATCACTTAAGCCCAAGAGTTTGAGGTTGCTGTGAGCCACAACACTCTACTGAGGGTGACATAGTAAGACTCTGTCTCAAAAAAAAAAAAAAAAGTATTAGATATATACATATCTGTTCAATCTACCATACTTATTGAAAGTTTCTAAATAATGTACTCATAAGACTATGAGACTCTCTACCCTACCAGTGTTAAATTTTAATAGTACTGCATAATCTTTAATGTTCTGTATCCTCACAAAGTACATGAATGAAAAAGTTAACTACCAACATTTTATCAGTTAATATTTTAGATGACCACAATCATATTATTGGAAATTTGCATTAACAGCCTTACCAATCTAGTGCATGAAGTATAAAATACTGTGATTATTACAGAACGTTGCCTTTAGTCCAGACAAAATAGGAGAAAGAAAGGGCAGATGGGCGGTACCTGTGGCTCAAAGGTGTAGGGCACTGGCCCCATATGCCATAAGTGGCAGGTTCAAACCCAGCCCCAGCCAAAAACTGCAAGAAAAAGGGGGAGGGGGGCAGAAAAGCCTTCTCAAAGAAGGTATCTGGAACTGGAAGGAAACAGGTTACCACTCTCCACTTTTCAAAAAATACATTAAAGATTCTTTTCCCACCCCAATTCTATAGTTTCATATACGATAGCCATCTTTTTGAAAGAGATATCATAAACTGATCAGAAACAATAGATAAGAAATAAGTTGCCAATTTCTTATCAACAATGGCACTATAAATAAATCCTGGATAGTGCTTCGAGTCTTCTAAACCTGCCTAGGAACTGGAAAACACTCCTTTTCCCTAGGCAAAAAGCATCCTTTTTCCGTGGCCACAGTACACTACTCACGGCGGGAAGATGTGCAGGGGAGTTCTGTCAATAACAGATAAATCAACATACTAGTTAGCTTTCAGGTGACGCCAATCCACAAGTCTAACACAAACATCTCCCTGATCATATAGGCCAGGCGTCCTCAAACTAAGGCCCGCGGGCCACATGCAGCCTGCCTAGGACATTTATC